AAATCGGGTAAAAACGAGGGGAAATTGGATTTTATTCGAGTTCGAGGGTTGTTCGAGTTCGAGTTGTAAAATCATAAGCGTAGTAATAAATTTCTTGGTTGAATTTTACAATTTAAGCAATTAAAGAAACCTGAAAAAGCTTGAGACTTAAAAACTGCCGAGCGATGAAACCATAGATTGGAAGGTCAATTTTGAGTCGTTTCTTATTTTCCTATTTTAATTCTCGTTGAAGAATTCATATGAGTGGAGAATCCCTGTTAGCGTCCGGACAAAAACTCTCTTCAGTAATAGCGAACCTTGAGAAGCCATCAAAGTTTTTAAAACAGTTGTACTTTTGTTGTATACAACAGGAAGAAAAGAATCAGTCCAGTGAACTAGCCCCGAGACAAGCAGTGACTAAAGGTTCGCTTCTACTTCTCCCCACATTGATTATGTCTTCTACTTCTCGAGAAAACGGCATTACTTCTCTCAACTCAAGCATGTTAAGGCATGGCTTGCAGCCTAACAGTTTGCATAAAATCTGAAAATAGTCATAACTTTTCAGCGATCTTAATACGAAAACACTTTCAAACTTGGTAACAATATAAAATATAACTTATTTTGGGTTTTCATTGTTAACTAGTTGAGTCACGTGACCTGTTATCGCCGGCATATCAGGCTCGTTTGGTCTTGTCATGGCCAAAATAATTAAGTAGTACTATTCATTGTTTCAGCAGCAAAAGGACAGTCCCAAACGGAGAATAATGATTTTGACCTCGATGAAAGTGTAAGTTTGAAAAAGACCGGGGAAGAATTCATGCGTTTCATGCTTTTTGCAACCTGTGAGAAGTTCTCTATTTGTGTTCTCGTTTTGATGTACATTCTTACGTATTCTCATTTCCTTTTAGACGCGAACAAAATGTGGTACTGCTGATGACTGCCTTTCGTCAGTGTATGTCGGTGGCGATAAAGTTCACTCCGCTAAAACTGTAAGTCTTGTTTCCTCAGCTCGGATTGGAAAAAAGTTCAAGAACGTCAGCGATCAGTACAATGTTGTAAGTCGTGGCAACTTACAGCAGGGAGGACAATACTTTAATTTTAGACCTTCTCATGTCCTTTTCCTCTCAATAGAATACTGCTATCCAAAGTCGAATAAGATAAATCAAAGTATCTCAAAATAGTTTTGTTTTACGTGTTTAATACTAAGCTTAACGCTGACAGTTTAGCCTCCCAAAATATACATCTTTAACAGTTGACAACAATTTACAAGCGTGGCCGAGGAGTTGAACTCAGGGCTACCGAGAAACAAATCCAAGTGGTGACCAGAGCGGGACTCGAACCCGGGACCGCTGCCTCCTGTTAAATCACAACCTCTGATCGTGTTGTCTAACCTTGTGTTGTCTGAAGCAAGCAAACGAATTCCATTAGGAGTAACAAAAATTTCAAGCCACGCCCACAAAACAGGATCTTGGTACCTCAGAACAAAGAAGCGAAAACGAATAAGTGGAGTGCGCTCCACAGACTGCGTGTTTCTTGTTTCTTGCGGACCGATCAGGCAAGGGACAATCAAAACCTAACTTTAAGCGTTGCTGTATTTTTTTTTTCACATAAATTATTTTCATTTAACTGTAACGGTATCGAGTCACCTTTAAGACACTTTTCTGAGACTAAAAATAACTAAAAACGTTCAGAAGTATTGACCTCAGGGTCGAAAACGTGGTAGCAATAATCCGGGGGATTTTTTAAGCTAGTTTCCAGTTCTTATTCAAATGACTCTTTTCTGTTGACTTGTTACCTTGTGCCTCTGTTTCAAAACGAGTTCTCGCGCAAATCAAATTCATATGAAAATGAGTTTGATTTATAAGAAAATAAACCTGTTGGGAGAACACATTTTCGCATGAAATGTGGATTCGCAAGAGACTCGTTTTGACATAGAGGCAAACGCGAAACATAAGTAGTGCAAAACATTTTTACTCAATAAAGATTAATATTTCGGTTAACTGTTAACGTCTAACGCGGCTCCTCCCGGACGCAGTTGTCAACAAATTGCCTTTTCTTTAAAGGTTGATCATGAGGTGCAAGCGGTACAGGCTGGGAGTTCGAGTGTATCAGACACATTAAGAAAACCTGCTGCTGTCGGTGTGACTAAGAAAGGTACGCTTGTATATAGACAGCAATGTATATGTTTCTTTTCTGCGAGCTGTTTTGGGGGAGAGGGCTAATAGAGGATTAGCGGTAATTTTAATGGCTCTTTCTTGTGATAGGCTCCAATTTTAATTAACCTAAATGATTTTAAAATTCGACTCCAGTCTCCATTTGAACTTCGGAACGGGCACTAGTACCCGCTAACTTGAACTCGGTTAACTCGAACTCACCTTTAAATCCAGTTTCTTTTGGATTTAACACCCTAGCTCTAATTTTCCAGTCATTTATTATTGGTCTTGAAGTATAATATCATTCAGAATAAGTCATATCAGGAGCCCATCACTTGGAACGTGCCCTTATTTCTGTCACGACGTTTTCACAGACCGATCTATTTTTAGCTTGAATTTAACGCGAACCTCAGCGACCAAACACAAGCACGAACTTAATTTTTAATTGACGTTGTGATCATCATTTCACCATTTCTTTTCGCGGGAAAAGAAGCCTAAAAATAGACTGGTCTGTAAAAATGTCGTGACATAGGCTTAGTAAGGGAGTTGCACGCTCCTAGTGATGGGCTCCTGATCATATAGAATGTTGCTGGTTCATAATTCACACAAATTCTTTATTTGTAGCAATGCCATCCAAGATAACGATCAAAGACTCCGACGCTAAAAGTCATATGTGCATGTTTTGCGGAGAAAAACAGTCAAAGCTCTCCAGACACTTGATGAGAAAACACAAAGACGAGAAGATTGTGGCAGAGGCGATGGCACTCAAGGATAGGTCAAGGGCGTTCGAGAGAATACGTCTTAGGGGAGACTATCATCACAACTGCAACGTTTTAGCCCTCGGCGAGGGAGAGTTGATCGTTGTAAGAAACCCCGCAGGAAAACACCCGTCCAATGCCTCGTCATTTTTGCCCTGTCCAGATTGCCTTGGCTTCTTCAAAGCCGACGAGCTTTGGCGTCACTGCAAGCGCTGCGTACACAAAACATCAGAGACTAAGAAATGGAAGAAGGTGCAGCGTGAAGCCAAGCTTCTGCTACCGGCTGGTTCGATCTCAACGGCAGATGACGGCAAGGAGCTATATTCGAGTGTACTTTCTGCCATGAAAAACGACAACATCTCCTTCGTGGCGAAGCACGATAAGGTAATTTTGCAGTTCGGAGCTTCAATCTTGGAAAAGGTGGGGAGGAAAAACGCCAACTACGTTTCCCAAAGGATGCGTCAGCTGGCCCGGCTTCTGATGACACTGCGGGCGAGGAGCCATGAGGAAGAAGCAGCGCTTCAGAACTACATTGACACCGCAAAGTTTGATGAGCTGATAGAGGCGGTCAAAGAGTTGTGTGGATTCGACCAGGAATCACGACTGAATGTAGGGATTCCTTCTCTAGCCCTTAAGCTAGGGCACAGTATTAAGCGCTGTGCCCAAGTCGTTAAGTGTTCTGCCCTGCGGAGCAAAGACGAGATTGTGATCAAGCAAGCCAAGCGTTTTATTGACCTTTTCGAAAGCGAGTGGACCGCTAAAGTTAGCTCGCGGTCCCTCGCTTCGTTAGGGTCAAAAAAACAAAATAAAGTTGATTATCTACCCCTGGCAGAGGATCTTACCAGACTTAAAGATCATCTCGATTCCAAGATGGAGTCTTTATCATCCGCATTGACAGCAGAAGGCTCTGCCGTGAACGTTGAACAGTGGGCCAATCTAGCCAAGGCAACCTTGACCCGTGTTATACTATTCAACAAGAGGAGATCCGGAGAGACCGCGACGCTTCAAGTTAACCAATTCGTAAATCGCCCCAATTGGAGCGGTTGCAACAGCGATATGAAGAAGGCTTTGTCGCCTCTAGAAAGGCGACTTTGTGAAAGGTAACAAAAGTTAGATCATAACCGAAATAAGCAGAATAAATGAACACAAGAAAGTTCCGTGTTCCCATCATTTACTGAATGAATACCGAAAAAAGTAACCTGTGCAAAATTCAGTCAAGATATGTAAGAAAATAAAATAAGGTCAAATAAAGGATGCTAATTGATCTTTTAATTCTTTGATATTTAGAGAGAGAATAAACAATTATATGAGAAACCTAAGTTCCAGTTTTGTTCCACACATGCGGAGATCGTTAATGTTTACAATGAATTTTTGTACAGTGAAATTCCGATTTCTCGAACCAAAATTCATTTCGCTTCGGTATGCTTCACTGTTATTTTACTCCTATATTTCACATTGTCTACTGAACGTTAAATCTTCAGGTTAGATCTCATTGAAATCACGGGTAAGAGGAACAGAAAGGTGCCAATCCTTTTGACTCCAGAGACAAAGTCAGCGATTGAGGTGTTGATAAAAACACGGCCGGACAGCATTCCGAAAGAAAACACCTTTGTTTTTGCAAGGGCTACCAAAGGGTCTATGGACCACCTGAGAGGCTGGGACTGCGTGACGAGCAATGTGAGAGAAATTGAAGGGTCACTCCGCCAGCCAAAGTCGATCACCAGCACCAAACTGCGCAAATATATCGCCACTGTCTCACAGACAGCAGCGTTGAGTGAAGTTGATATCGACTGGCTAGCGCGCCATCTTGGCCACGATGTGCGCGTACACCGTGAGTTCTATCGCCTCCATCATTCCACAACAGAGCTGGCGAAAGTCAGTAAACTGCTCCTCGCTGTCGATTCAGGGAACCTGGAACAAATAGTCGGAAAGAACCTGGGGGATATGTCAGTGGAAGGTACTTAAACACAAAGTTTATTCATTGTTAACGTTATCTGGACATAAATCTAGCAAAAATAGCTGAAAAAAACGCGTGGACTCAAGAATTCTTAAATTTCGCAGATTTGATTCAACAAGATGTTAACAAATTGAATATTCTAATTAACAGATATCCCGGACATTATTGACACTGGCAATGAGTCAGGAGGTGGGTCAGATACGGCATGTATTTTGCATATCACCAGCGTCATTGCAACGATATAAAGTGCGATAGTAACTACAGTATTCTCGTTTTCAGCACCAAGAATCGAGACCGATTTTGTGAGCATGCACAGAATCCGTCTGTCATGCGCAATTCTTGAAGCTGACTAGGAGAATCGTAATGGAGAGTAAC